ATTCACTTTTGTGTGGTTTAAAATTCATTTTTATTTAGTCCCCAAATGTATAATAGTTTGATTCACTGATACTGTAACAAAATATAACTCCCCATTATCCAAAATAAGGTTCTTAGTTTGACTTGCGCGCTTATTAATAACTGCAAAATAGTGTTTGAGATTTAATTATGCAGCAAAATATAATCAACCACACGAATCTTTCACCAAAAAACTTATTTCGGGACAGACAGAAAAGAATGTCATAAACCTTATGGTGGGATGGAGAATTGATTATGAATACCTCCCGTCTTGCGTCCTCATTCATGAATCACAAGTAGGAAACATATAATACCACTCAGGTAGTAAGTATTTAACTGCAACTTTCCCAGTAAAACTATCATTTCCATCCCCCCACGCCTAGAGAGAACACTGTTCTAAAAACCCATGTCTTGTTCCACCTAGGTGCTCTCTGATTGTTTCTTATCTTGGACCCGTCCAGGCAACCAGATTTCAAAAGCACCCCATTTGTAACCAATTTATTTCTTAGGGCCACTTTCAAAGTAATCAAAGCATCCTCTACTACTATACACATTTCCAGCTCTAAGCAGATTAACTGGTGTTTTAATTTGTTGCATTTGAAACTATATACTTCGTCTATTACTCAGTAGGATGCTACTGAAACGAAAATGACTACATTATAAGATTGAAATCTTATTATGAAGAAAAAATTGGAAATAGAAAAACAAAGGTAAAAACCTGGTTCCCGGACATCCCAAATACGGGCACTGCAATCGCCGGACGCTGAAGCGAACACATCGGCGTGTCTGGGGTTCCATGTGGCAGAGTAGACGCAGTAAGCGTGCTCCTTGAAAGTCCTTACGCTGGCATTCCTATCAACGGTCCAGAGCTTCACCGTATCATCCCAAGAAGCCGACAAGAACGAGTCTTTCCGGACAGTGTTGTAGTCAACGGCGTGGACTTCTCTGGTGTGCTCTTGGAACGACCGTATGGGGTTGTTCGTGGGCGGCAGAGCGAGGTCGTAGAGCTTGATTGAGCCGTCACCCACGGCTGCGATGATCAGGGAATCGTGGGCCTCCGACCAGCACACGTCGTAGACGCCGTCGGCGGTGTCGAAAGCGGCGATTTGGGAGATTGGCCCGTTTGGGTTGAGCTGGAGGACGTGGACCCGGCCGTTACCCAAGATGCCGAAATTCTGGGCCGTGCCGACGGCTAGTTGGTTCTCATAAAATGGGCTGAATTTCACAGAGTAGCCATTGAAGGGTGTCTTGAAAACCGGCATTTCCTTTCTGCGGGTGATTGTGGTGGTGGATTTGTGAATTTTATCAGAACCTTTTCCCCTGTTTCACCCTTTCAGATGCAGTAGCGGCATTCTCAAATTTTGACCTTTGGTTTTGTTTAAATAAATAAATAAATATGGGGAAAAAGTGCAAAAAAAAGAGTTTTGTGGTTTGATTTTCTTAAAATAAATAAATTAATAATGCAAAAGTACAAAAAATGTATTTGTGATTATGAAATTTTTTGAATATGAGTTTGAGATTCATTTCTCACAAAGTATGAATTGTGTTTTCAATCCGTTAAAAGTTATGAGTTTTCATCTAAGCTTTCTAAAAAAGAATGTGAAATGTGACTTTTTTATATATTCACGTCGTTTTCTTTTTTATATATTTTTGTGAAAATATGAATCTCAACCCCATTTTTTTAAATACAGTCAACCATAAGTATCTTTTTTTATACCCTTTTCAATAAATAAATCCGAGAGAAATTGCATCTTGTACAAAAAGATGATGACACATACTTCTCCGTCCAACCATCCTTTAACAATTACGGAGTATCATGCAACAAAGCACTATGAACCCGTTTGGTAATCCCGTTTTTTGGTTTATCAGCCAACTTTTTATCAAACACGTAACCTTTGATTTCGCGTGCTGAATTGTGTAATAATAAGAAAAAATAAGATTGAAGTTACTTTTCTGGCTGTATTGACCGAAGTTACTGTAGAGGATGATTTTAGCTATTTTTTCATATGACATTTTCTTTATTTGATTAGTAAAAAATATTTTAAATATAATTTTATATAAATCAGCAGAATCATTCAATCTAACCACTTCAGCCATAACTTCATAAATTTTAGCAGAATCAGCCAATTCAACCAATTTTAGTGTTACCAAACGGCCTCTATATCGTTTCATTTTAAAGTTACAAGTTTATTATTATGGGAAAAGAGGCAAATAAGCCCTCGAACTAACCAAAAAAGTGCAAATAAGCCCTTATATAGGAGGTTCTTTCCGGTCATCGCCATTTGGGGAGGTTCCTAATGGAATTTTTTGATGAAATTTTTTGATCATCTTCTACATTAAGTCTAGTTTAGCCATACCAAGTTTCAGCTAAAGATTCAATCGGGAAGGCAGTCAAATGAATTTTTGAAGAAAACTGTGCAGTTAAACAACGCAGTATATCCTTTCAAAAAAAACAACGCAGTATATTTTAGAAAATCATTTGACTGCCTTCTCGGTTGCGTTTTTAGCTGAAATTTGATATGGCTAAACTAGACTTAATGAAGAAGGTGATCAAAAAATTTCATCAAAAATTTCCACCGAAAACCTCACCAAATGACGACGGCCGGACAAAGCCTCCTATATACGGACTTATTTGCACTTTTTTTGTTAGTTCGAGGGCTTATTTGTCCCTGTTCCCTTATGATTATAGTACTTTTCTCTTTTTACATATATATATATATATTTCAATTATACCATGTTCGCCCTGAAACCTCCGACGTCCATTTCGTTAAACCCATCTGGGTACCGGTGGACGTAGCTCAACTGGTAGCGAGGGAGTGGCACAAGGGTTAGGTCTCGGGTTCGAATCCCGACAACTGCGATGAAGGGTTACTATGCTAAAAAATGCATAGAGCCTCTGCAAGTACTGGGGACAGAGCCTCACTCTCTATCTGTCAGATTGTGATTATAGTCCAATTTACATCCTCCCATCGTGTCGTCCGGTCGGTGTTGGGGGGCCCTCAGGGATGGAGTGTCGTCCATTTTTTTTGTTAAACCCATCTGGGCAATTGGAGCTAAAAAAACGTATTCAGGAATTTAGGATTACGAGTGCTAGATGTGACTTGTGAGGCATCTGCAACACCAATTCGAGGTTAGAAAACCACAGGCCACAGGCCCAAATGCTCATAAGTGCTAGGTGACAAAAGTGTTGTATGAACTTGGGGCGGCGGGTGGTTGGTGAAGACGATGGACAAACCTGCCAGAGAACAAGGAGTCGGCGAGTGGAGAACCGAGGGAAAGAAGAAAGAAAGGGGGAGAAAGAAAGGAAAGAAAAGAAAGAAATTGGAGGCGTAAGTAGATTGGATCTGAAGCCTCTACTTAGAGTAAGGTAGAGTGTCTGCTTCTTTCCTATCGTCAGATCTACAATTCAACGGTCGGAGATCTTGAGCTCCACTTTTTTGCCGATCTCGAGGCCATCTTGACCGCTCCCCTGCCGTCCGATACACAAGGCACCTCTGCCTTACGGAGGATACGGATCCAAGTAGATTAGGGGAGAAGAAAGGAGGCAACATGATGAAAGAAAAAAGAAAAAAATCCACATCAGCATCACATATTCATACTTTAGAAAAATGTGTGGTGTACACAAAATGTGTACACTTTTTTATACACTCGTCTGTACCCCGCAGACAAGTGCACAAATTGAGGTACAGAGTTGTCTGTGGATAGACAACTTGTCTGCGGGGGACAGACGAGTGTACAAAAAAGTGTACATATTTTGTGTTCTTTATCGGCTGACTGGATTTTAACTTACTAAAGAGCTGATTTGAAACATTTTTAAAATTGAGGTACTTGATTAGATGTTTTTTTAGTAGAGGTACTTAATTAACTTTCAATATAATATGAAGAGTTATTTGACAATTTTCTTATTTTAGAGCCCGTTTGGTGGCCCGTTTTCATCTTATCATGCTTATTAGTCGACTTTTATATCAAACACGTAATTTTTAATTTCACGCGCTAAATTGTGTGTTGGGTTAATGGGCCAAATAGAGGGTCGACCCATTCACCCCCTCATTCTGACGAACGTCTGGCCCAACAAGGCAACCCCCCCAAACAAACGTCCAGGTAGGATAATGGCGGATCAAGCCACGGGCAACGCTGCGGCGACGAACGTCTCCACCAAGAGCCGCAGCCACATGATGCCCAATCCAATCTATATGACAAATTCTCCTAAGGGCCAGAATACGAACGGCCCACAAACCCTTTTGCAGTATCACCAGGAGCAGGCCCCGGCCCAACTGGACGTCCGTCTCCACAATTAGGCGGGAAACCCAGATCCTGGCGGGAAGCGCATTTAATGTTGAAGATTTGGTGGTTGAGACATCAGCCACTCACAGCCTTCCACGTCAGCATATCCAACTGTCCATTGGCGGTATAAATAGCAGCATTTATTTCATTGTAAGAGGTTAGCAACTTATTATTCTTAACATTCTAGCTGATTACCTTATTACTCGCAGCCCTTCTACTGTAGTGTAAGACGAACGGCCTTCGGACTTAGCAAAAGTATTGTATTGGGGCGTTATTCATCATTAATAATATCCGGTCCTTTATTGCTTCTTTACTCTCTTAACCCATCTTACTTGTTGTTGGATTAGTTAATCACCCACATTAAATCAATCCACTCGAAGTCCTTGGGCTTACGTGTTGGACCCGAGGGTTGAAGGAATAAACCTCAACATTGTGTAATAATAAGAAAATCAAGGTCGAATTTACTTTTCTGACTGTATTAGCTGAAGTTATTGTATAAATTCATTTTAGCTATTTTTCATATAATTTTTTATCTTATTTATTACATAGTAATAACAAATATTTTAAATACGAAGCATAATTTTTTTCGTAAACCGGGAGAATCAGTTAATACAGCCAAATCAATCAAAAGTTCATGAGTTTTTTCATCATTATCAACCAATTTAGTGTTAGCAAATGATCACCGGGAGAATCAGTTAATACAGCCAAATCAATCAAAAGTTCATGAGTTTTTTCATCATTATCAACCAATTTAGTGTTAGCAAATGATCTCTTAATCAAAGTCATATCTTATCTAGAGAAGGGCCGGACCGGTAGTGGACTTTTCCCTTATCGTCGCTAGCGGATCACTGGCCCATACATCCCGTCCCGTCTTCCCCTCTCTCCATTATTATACGGAGTATTTATTATTATTAATTTATTACACACGCAAAATCTGCCCCGGGGAAAAATGAATCATGTTAATGAAAAAGAAAAAGAAATCCTAATCGGCGATCACAACAACGTAAACGAAACCTAAAAGACCTCGTCGGCCGCCCCACTTTCGGCAACGGATCGTTGACCTCACGCGCCCCAGCGACCTCTCCGATTAAACTCGACAATGTCGTCATCACCGTACCGCTTTGCCTCCTACACATGCGGCTCACGCGCTTCAACCCTTCATCGCCAACCGGCGATACCCTCTATCACATCACGGATGCCCTTCTTTTCTTCCTCGCCGTCATTTCCCTCTGCCCTTCTCTCTTCTCATTTCGATTTCCGGGCCATCTCCTTCCCTCCGTTTCCGGCTCCGATCCACCATGGATTCGTCTTCCCGCCCTTTGCCTTTCAGGGAAGATTGCTGGAGCGAGGAGGCCACGTCCACGCTCGTTGACGCCTGGGGTCGCCGCTATTTGGAGCTCAACCGGGGGAATCTCCGGCATAAGGACTGGCAAGAGGTCGCCGATGCCGTCAATTCCCTCCACGGTCACACCAAGAAGACTCACCGCACCGATGTCCAGTGTAAGAACCGGATTGATACTCTCAAGAAGAAATACAAGACGGAGAAGGCCAAGATCGCCGAGTCCAACGGAACCCTAACCTCCTCGTGGCCCTTCTTCTCCCGCCTGGATTCGCTCATCGGGAACTCCGGAAAGAATCAGCTCGCCAAAGGTTCGCCGATGTTGGTAAGTCCGCCGCCCTTGCCGCTTCCGCTAACGCCGTACTCAGCTCTACCCTTGCCGTTTCCATCACCGCCGATGGGAGTGCCTCTTCCCTTCAGGAAAACGCCTCCGGCGGTGGCACATCCGGCGGTCCTTCCCCAGAAGCGCCCCGCTCCTGCCTTTGACGACTCGTATTTCAAGAAGAATTACTCAGCAGTAGCTGCCGCGGCAGCCGCAGCGGCTGCAACTGAGGAGGAAGAGGTGGATGAAGAAGAGGAGGATGAGGAGGATGAGCGGGGGGAATCTGAGGAGGAGATTGAAACTAGTGATGGGATTACTGAGGATGAGGGAATCAGGAAGCTGGCGAAGGCGATTAAGAGGTTTGGGGAAATATATGAGAGGGTTGAAGGAATGAAGCAAAGGCAAATGGTCGAGTTGGAGAAGCAGAGGATGCAGTTTGCAAAGGATTTGGAGGTTCAGAGGATGCAACTATACATGGACACTCAAGTCCAGCTCGAGAAGATTAAGCAATCCAAGCGTTCTGGATCAGCAGATGGTATATTTATAAGCAAATCTCTCTTTAATCTCTTCTTTCCTTCCTAATTCAATTCCCTTTGTTCATTGTGTTGGAACATTGAAATTACAACTCGGGACATGTTGTTTTTATGTACAATAGTAATAATAATAGTAACAATTTTAAAAAAATAGTAGTAGTAATAATTGCCGTGCTTGATACTTTGGATTTTATTCTAATTTAACACCCATGAAATATATGGCGATGCATGGTTAGATACGTAGATGAGCTATTCTACTCAGGCAAACCTGGATGTCATTTTCATCTAGGGTCTGTTTGGTCCAAGGGTTTTGCAGGAAAAGGCTTTGGAAAGTTTATATCTTGAATCTTGATACATAGAATGTTTATGAACATGTATAAAGGGTGATTAAAATGTTAAACGATTAGTCGATCACATACTATGTTAATCTTTCGACTTTTATAAACTCTAAAGAATAATGCTATGTATCAAAATATAGACTAACACAGCCAAGATCTTCCATCCAAATGGATCCGGAGCCTCTGTCTTGCTTTAGAGCAAGGTAGGGTGCCTGGCTCTTCACAATCGTCCGATAAAAAAATCAAGGGTGGGAGATCTTGGGGTCTATTCTTTTGCCGATCTCGAGGCCGCCTTCGTTGCTATCTGGCCGTCCCTGCCGTACGGCAGAGGATCTGGATCCCTATCCAACAGGGCCTCACGCATTTTCAGTTTCATGCTTGGTTCTGCTTGAGTAGTTTTGACAAGATAGGATGACTTGGTTACTGATCGTTCTTTTAACATATCCTTGTTAATGTGCAAGATAATACTATATTACTCTTTCTTGACAGCTTGTGTCAAATTTGAGTTGGTAATGGATAATGATATGAAATTTTCTTGAGCTTATGTCTATTTCATTTGGAGGGAGAGATACTTTTCTTGCTGTTTGTTTGGTATGGATGATTGAAGGAATTTTCCTATAAACTTCTATGAATTGTTGGAATAATAACCAACGCTTACAGTGGGTCCCCTACTAATAGTGGCAGATTTGTGCATTGGTGATTCTTTCTATTATATTTGATTAAATGAAATTTGCAATTCTATTTTCTTGTGCTGTAGCTGTGATGCTCTGATGATACTTTGATTTGAAAAGTTCCCTCAATCTTCATTTGCTTGATACATTTAGTTTAAAATGTTCTATGCTAGTAGAACACTATGTGGGTTGATGGTTTAATGATTGTTTTTCATGTTTATTTTTTTTTTCAGATTTGTATAGCTAGCTAGTCTACCGGGGGTAGCAGGGTCACACTTGGAGCAGAAATAGGGCGAAGAAACTACGAGTTTGTTTAAGTATTGGTGCTGCCATTTGGCCCAAATGATTTTTAACTGCTATAACTTTTTTTGTATTACTAGTATTAGATTCACTTATTCCTGTTTCACTTTCAGGGTTTCAGTTTCAGCAAAAAGTGTTGTCTTATTTAGACTATGGCTAATTATTCACCTCATTAAGATTATTTGTTTACATCTCATAATGATTTATTACTAATTAATCAAATCGATTGGTACATAACTGACAGATGAAATGTCTTCCAAAAGATCTCACCTACAAACACACACACACACACACTTGACATCCTTGATGAAGTTCATAAATCAGTGCTTACATTCTTGCTAAGTTTGGTCTTCCGTCACATTCTTATGTGTCCACATTCCAAACAAGATGAAGCTTCCAAAGGTCATTTGTTGTTTTCTCCTCTTAACTGTTTGGCAACACTTTGGTAGTAATTCTCCCATAGAAATAGGGAGAAACCAGTTCTGGAAAAACAGAACATAACTCACTTTTTTGTTCCTGGGCTAGAATAGGTACCTGAAGTGGTTCAAATTAGTTCCAGTTTTTCCAAAATTGCATGGAAAACAACCAGGTTCTGGATCTGCTTTTTAAACTTGAAAAAAACGGCTCAATGTAGAATATGGAACCAAAGTAGAAAAATACATTCAGAACCTGGTTTACACAAAGGTTGGACTGTTGGAGGCATCTTACCGCTGAGGTAGTGTGCCATATCTTGGTGGCTGGACATCTCTATAAGAGGTCCCTTCTGAATAATAAGAGAGCTATCCTCATTCCTCCTACTGATTGCTTGGTTTGATTATGGATAGCATATCTGCATATTACATGGGCTTCATAAGTACAATGGTGGCTTGCCTCATATCTCAGAACTTTACCATCAAGAAGTACAGAATGGTTACTATATTGGATCATTCCAGTAAAAAAATTGAATGTGACAGCGAAACGTGACAAGGAAAACTAATCATCAAGGCCGCCGGTAGGCTTGTAACTTGCAAGTGAATCTTATTTTATATTTATATTCGCACCATTTGTTGACTTCGAATATATTTGAAATTTTGAATATTCTAATAAAACAATTAAGTGTCAATATTTTCAAAGTAATTAAAATTATAATGCTGACCTTTTTGCCCGACTTTCATAGTACATATTTTCAAATCGAAATATATCTACAAGACAATTCTCCAAAACATGAATGCATAATTTTAATGCTAAGAGAAGCTACTTTTAGAAAAGTGTAACTAAGCTAAAACATGCAAACAATCTATGTGTTTCATTTCTTAAATATTATACTATTAATACTTTTATCGTGTTATACTTTCTCCGCCCCCTATAATTGTCTCATTTTATCATTTTTGGATGTCCCCCTAATATTTTCTCATACTATATTTGGTAAAATTTGTGTGACTCTAATTCATTTTTTCAACTTATTATCAACCACACAATTCTACTTTTCTTTAAAATCACACCACTCCCTTTCGCCCCAATATTAGGGGGACGGAGAGAGTAGTTATTTATACAGAGTATTATAAATTTATGAGTATATATAGAGAGAGAATTGTACATATGTATTTATCTTGGTTATGCCCCGGAGTACAAAGGATACTGGTGTTTGAAAACATGACGCATGTATGTTAGCAGGGATGTGTAATTTGTTGAGGATGAATTTCCATATCATATCCCTCTCCTCCACATCTCCCTCTTCACACACCACTATACTTCTCTGACCATTGCACTCTATTGGCTATAGTATTACACCTCACCCCAACCTTAAATTTCCACCTTTCCATCTGCTTGGATGGACTCCTCCACCCCCACTTTATCCGTTGCTTCACCCATAACCGGGCAACCCCTTATTTCCCCTATTTCCCCCACCTGCCACTTCTCCCGATCTCTCACTATGTCAGCTCCTCTCTCTTAGCTCCTCTCTCTTGGCCACACGGACCATTCCCCGCACTTTTCCACCGAACCTACCTTGGACTCCATCCCGTCGCCCTCACCCTCCTCCTGTTTCGTCATACCTGTGTCCTCTACTGCCCCCACGTCTCATAACACTCACCCCATGCAAACTCGCTCTAAAGCGGGCATTTTTAAACCTTGTATTGTATTAAATTTGAGTACAATGACTTTTTCTGATGATCCAACATGTTTTTCTCAGGCTAATAAAGATGTTAAGTGGCGGGATGCCATGACTGAGGAATTTAATGCGCTTACTACTAATAATACTTGGGATTTAGTTCCTTTTGACAGTACAAAAAATGCGGTTGGCTATAAGCTAATCGACAAGACAAAATATCTTTTTGATGGGATCATCGAGCGTCACAAAGCTCGTCTTGTCGCCCAAGGGTTTAACCAACAGGCTGGGGTAGATTTTTCTGAGACCTTTAGTCCGGTCATTAAGCCTGCTACTGCTCGTCTTGTTTTTCTGTTGCTTTTTCCTCCAATTGGGTTGTGCGCCAGTTAAATGTCAAAAATGTGTTTTTGCATGGTTATCTTATTGATGAGGTATATATGCGTCAACCGCCAGGGTTCATTCACCCTGCATACCCTGATCACAAATGTCATCTCTGTAATTATATGGTCTCAAACAAACATCAAGAGCATGATTTCACAGATTTAAAGGCTTTCTTATTCAACACTGATTTTGTCAAAGTGAGTATGATAATTCTATGTTTGTATACTCTCATGTTTCTCGTATTATTTACATTTTGTTATATGTGGATGATATTATTACCGGTAGCTCGTCCTCTTTGGTTTCGAGTTTTATGTCCCGATTATCTACATCCTTTGCTATGAAGGATTTAAGTGACTTACATTACCGTTCAGGATTTGTTGTGAAAGTTTCATCTCCATACTGTCAAATCGGTAGGTACTCATTTGCCTTCTAGGGCCACTCTTTCTGTTCTCGATGGGGAGCTTCCTTGCTGATGCCACCGGATATCGCAACATGGTTGGTGCATTACAATATTTAATGCTGACTCGTCTTGATATTACTTATGTTGTTCATTTGGTATCTCTGTTTGTGCATGCTCCTCGTACTTCACATCTTGCTGCTATTAAGCGAATTTACAGGTATCTCCAGGGCACTATGGATCATGGACTTTGGTTATTGTGGCTTATTCTGATGCTGATTGGGCTAGGTGTCCGGATAGCTCTCGCTCCACAACTGGTTTCACGGTTTTCTTGGGCAATAATCTCATATACTGGTGATCCAAGAAACAACCTACAATCTCAAAATCGTCTATTGAAGCTGAATATCTTGTTGTGTCTTACATCGTTCAGAATACCTTGTATGTGTGGTCTATCTTGACAGATTTGGGCATCCGCATTACTTCTCCGGTCTACCTGTATTGTGATCATGTCTCCGCCTCTTACTTAGGAGTCAATCCCATTCACCCTGATAGGTGTAAGCATATTCAAATTGATTACCATTTTGTGTTGGAAAGTGCGGCTCATGGTGATTTAATTGTCCGTTACATGCTTACGCAGTTTTCAGCTTGCCGGTATTTTTACCAAAAAAATCTCATTGTTCAACGCTTTCATTATCTTAAGTACAATCTGCATGTTATATCTTCCGCACAGATTTGGGGGGGGGGGGGGGGGTTATAGTACATATGTATTGTTTGGGGCATTTATTATAATTTCCTATGATTCCTAAACTATATATACCATGTATTATGCTATTATCATTAAGAAATAATTATTTCATAAAAGCAGCCTCAACTAATTGGCCTTTTTAGCACTCAGAATTTTCAGGTGGAGAAGACCAAGAGCCCGACTCCTCGAGTGATCTTTTATCAGGTCACACTTCAGACAACAAAAAGCGGACTCCTTTATATGCGGTGGAAGATCTATGGGATTTCGACACCAATCTGGATATTTGCAATAAGGCGTTGCAGGTGATGAGGGATAACTACTTGCCTATGAGCAATTTGAATATGCAGATGAATACCTATACAGAACGAGGAATCAACATTCACATTGTATGAGAACATGATCTCAAACTCTCACAGAGCGCTGATGCTTTTCAATAAGGGCTTAGCTAGGGAGAAAAGGGTTCCTTCGATGGGGCTGGCTTAGGGAGGAAGGGACCCCTTTGATGGGGCTTTCATACACTCAGAGTTGAGCTTTTATCTGTTTGTTGCTTTACTTTTGTTCATTCTCTCTCTCTCCCTCTATTTTCCTTCTTTCGCTTTGTACTTTGAACTGCCCTATTTTCTTTAATAAAATGTTTCCTTTCTTATGTATGTATGCATTTTGATATTTTATCACACACGACACTTGTGTTGAGATAAATCCAACACGAAAGAGTAAATCAATATATAATAGAAATATGTATGAACACTTGTTTTTCACGTAAAAATCCAAAACAGAGAAAACTACATGACTTTTTGGACTATTGTCCAAGCTACACTCTTTTTATTAGTTTTTTCCTCACCATTTTTACATAAAACAAGTATCAAAGTCTGGGAAGGCATTAATGGAGCTCCCAGACTTTTCTAGAGAGAGGGTGGTGGTGGTGGAGAAGATGGATCCCCTAATAAGGAGGGAAAACCTTCTATTTATAGAAAATGGCTCATGGGCACAATATTACCCTATTGAGTTGCAAACGGGCCGACTGGGACGAACCGGGCCGGATGGCCGAACTAGGCCGAACTGACTGGGTCTCGTTGGGGGCAAACATTGAGCTCTTAAACAGTAGTAGACCGGGATAATATATTTCAACAATTAATTTTGTCCTTTTAGGCAGAACAACCCAGACAATTACAAACCTTCAACGAGTTTAGCAAAACATGAGATTGCATTGACATTAGTTTAATCAATGTCATATGAGAAAACAATCTCTATTTCTCAATATGGTGCGATTGTTCAAAGCCACTTGAAGCAACTTTAATTAATTCCATATATGCGTGAAGAATGACAATTGGAGCAATTTGAATCAAATTCACACCGATAACATCTTATGAAATAGAATGAAGTAAGTAGAAGATTGAGGAGGAGAGAACATTTAAGTATACTTTTGATTTAACAAATGAATAACTTGAGATGAGATGATTGATATTGGATTTGGAGCCTCTGTCGGTAGGGTGCGTGGTTCTTCCTGACTGTCTGATCGAAAATTCAAGGCCCAAAGATATTGGGGTCCACTTCTCC